GCGCTTGGCGTTCCATAGAAATGACCGGCGGCTCAACTTGTCGGCGGCTCAACCGGTCATATAGGCGAATATGGCCCGGGTCGAAACGGCCGCCAGTCGATAAATATGGGCACGCATAGGCCCTTACTACTAATAATAACAACTAGCCTTTTTAGCCACATACAGGCCTACACCCTAAGTTTTATTATCTCTGTATTTTATCATTTCTCCACCCCTCCATTAATTAAGCATATAGCCTAGGCCCTAGGTCTATATGCCTGCTCTCATTTTGGTATAGGCCTAAGCCTTGCCAGCTATAAAATGAGCCACTTAATTAATGGAGGAATGGGAAAATGATTTTTAATTATAAATACAGATAATAAAACATACTACTAGCCTAGCTAGTAGTAGGGCAGAGGCCTATTTATGTGGCTAAAAAGGCTAGTTAGTAGTAGTAGTACTGTAGTAGTAAGGGCCTAGCTAGACTGTGTCAAGCATTAGAACAAAGCATATTTATTTAAGAAATCATAAATTATTAATAATGTCATGATGTGTAGTTTAATATGATTAATGCCTTTAGTTAGCAGCTAGTAGCCTAGCTTATAATAAAGGCCTACCAAGGCCCTCTATCTATAGCCTACTAGCTACTACTAAAACAAAGCTAGGCCTAAAAGCAAATGAATGATGCTGACAAGACACTTGACATGTGCCTAGGCCTAGTCCTATTAATGAGTTGTTATAACAACTCCCTGGTCTTACTTCTCTAAATATTATTTAACTTTATAATAATAATAATAATAATAATAATAATAATAATAATAATAATAATAATAATAATAATAATAATAATAATAATAATGTATTATTTGTCACTGGTACTTAAAGATGTCATAAGAATTGATGATTAAAAAAGAGATAAGTTAAAGGAGTTTCTTTATTTATTTCTTCCAGGAAATTTTGCAAGAGTCTACATCACCACCAACATTAAAAAATGTAACTGCACAGTTTAATATCTTCAGAACTGAAAATGTGGAGAAAGAACAACATCAAAACATAAATCAGAACAATTCCAGAGTAGATGATGACAGGCAAGATGATATATCAATTAGGTTAGTGGATTGCAACAGCAGATGAAGTCATCTGCAAATTATAATAAAAATAAGAACAGAAATACAGGTACTTAAATTAGTAACTGTCCTTTTTAGATATTGTACCAAGTGATGTTTAAAGCTGTCTATAATTTTTGAAAAGATAATCTGAAAATTTAAAGAAGTATACTCAATCAATACTGTATAGCTTACAGTACCAGTCTTCTCTACATTTCACTGAATGACATTTTTTCTAATAAAACTGAACTGTTTAAATTGTAATTAAAATTTGATAAGGTTTGTCATTAATGAGCAATTCAATGAGCTTTCCAAAATTTAATTATAAATTTGTGAGGTCTCACCACAAAATGAGTCTCATGGTTTTAAATCAAATGAGTAAATTACATAAGCTTTGAATGGCTTCCTTAGGAAAAGTAGATGTGGGCATCTAAAGTTTAGGTGTATGAGAACCACGTTTTGAGAAAATCGGCCTCAAAGATAAATTAACCTGTACAAATTATAGGACTAGAATTACAGAATATGCGTAGCAAACACTTTTTTAGTAAGAAAATTCACTTAAAAAGTACACAATCATAAAATATAAGTATCAAGAAATTATTCGGAAACATTAAAATCAAAATTTTTTAACAATTTTGACTGTGACCTAATTTGGTGAATATCTCAATATGAATTCATCAACGATGCGTCTCATTTGGTGGTGAGACCTCACATTTTATTAAATCCCTTCTATTTCATTCACAGTATATGTTCAGATGAAGCAGACCATGTATCTGAAATTAAAAATATTGCATTTCAACCGGCAAACCATGTTGAACAATCACTACAGAGTTTTGAAGACAAGTGGCAACAAAAAGCTGAGGTAAGAGAAGTCTTGATCATAATAAGGACAATCCTTTTTTTCAAAGGCATAGCTACATCTGAGCATCAGTGAACATAATAATTTGCACTTAAGAAAGTTATTGATTGGTTGAATGACAACTACAGATTTGAAATGAAAATTTCCGAGAACCAAACAACTACAACTGGGGGACACCCAGAGGCCAGGCATTTCGCTCAACTAGTTACCAGTGTTCATCTGCACTGGGACCAGAGCACGACCTTCTTATTGTAGTGAGCTAGCCTAGGCTAGTTTTTGAACAAAACAAAACGCCAAAACAAAATGAAAAAAAAAGAGGGTAAGGGCACATAAAAATCCAATGTTTTTTCTTGTAAGTAGAAGCACTTAAAAGAGGTGGATTTCCGGCAGTGAAGATTTTTGACATGTTGGCGGCGCTGCTTCAAAATAGACCCGATAAAACAGTGTATTGTCCCAAGAACAGATTTTTTTTTTTCCCCACTGGAAATTCCAAAGGCTAACAATATGAAAAATATACAAGTGTACATATGGTAAAAAATCAGTAATTACAGCAAATACTGATTTAATTGCAGGAAAATATAAAGAAAAGAAGAGAAAGTCAAGAGCAATACAGTAATCATCTATGGGACCAGTCAGTGAAACAAGTAGCAGTTCTCGAACAACATCAGAAAATTAAAACAATGCAATTGATGAAGAGAGTGAAGAAAATAGAGGAGGAAAGCAATGAGACAATACGCAAAAGATTACTTCATCAGAGAGAAAGCCATCAGCGTAATATTAAGGTACACTTCAGTTGTCCTAAGTAATAATCATTAATCGTTAATCATGAACAGTGACGACAATGAGTAAAAAATTTGAATATTTAATTTTATTTTTGTTTTTTAGCTCATTGTGGATCGTAACTTTTTTCATTTGCTATTTATACATTTTTTAAAACTAAATTTTCATCTTTTATAATTTGAAAAATATATGTCTTCATATTTGTTTATCTTGCCTAAATTTTAAAATCTCTTCACAGAGATTAGATGCTAAATTAAAGGAAGTAGAAGAGATGACTGAAGCTGAGGCTGTAGAGAGGAGGCGAGCAGAATTAGAGGCTGAGCGAAAGGCCAAGTAAAATAATACTCAAATTTAGAAATTTATATCCCAACTGGTGTCAAGTTGTCCCAAAACCTAAAGAATATTGTATAAGGCTGTTTAACTTTGCAATAGGAAGATATTATGGTCAACGTTAAGAGGAAAGCACATTTTTATCGCATTGTACATAGAAGTATTTACTAAATATATATGCAGAAAATGTTCTTTCAATGTACGTGTACTTGAGTTTTCTGGGACCTGTTCCCCAGATCCCCGCAATAATATTTGCTTTCTTTTCTGCAAAAAAAAAATCCAATTTCATCCATCACCACTTCATTTTCCTCCTCTGGTTAAGCGCATTGATAATGGTGTAGTGCGCAATCAGGGGCGGGTCTAGAATTTTTCTAATGGGGGTGGGGGGGACACAATATTTTCAGGATAAGTGAGTAGCACTAATTTCAATACATAATATTGATATGCATTAAAATTTTAAAATTTAGTGTCAAAACCAAGTTTGGGGGTGGGGTGAGGGGCTACGCTCTCCTCCCCCATGTGCTCCCCTACGGGATCCATGCCAGGCTATTTTGTTAAATATTTTTCTATTTTATTAACAGAGCTGCAGAAGCCAAGAAGCATTTGGACAGTATGAATCTTGTTCACAAACAAATCAAGGAATGCTTATCAGCACTGACTAAACTTATTGCAGGGTGTAAACATAAGGATATACTTAAGAATGATCTCAAAGAAATTATAGAATATGCTACGAAATTACGAGATAGAGCAGGTAATTTGATTTAATTATTATAAAGTGGCACGCAAACATACCCTTACAATATATATTTATACATAATCGGTGCAATATGTATACAAATATTTCCTTATTTTTCACTCTCAATTAAGGTTGTTATTAACAAGACCATATCATTGTATTTACTCTCTTTTCTGATTCTATTTTTCAGACAGCTTGATAGCTAGAGGTGCTACAGAGGGTGCTACCCGAGGGTTAGTTGATGATATGATCGGTATAATAATGGAAGTAAAAAAATGTTTAGAGAAAGCCAGTCTTGTCTCTGGTGAGTATTAAACATTGTAATGATAACAAAATAATTATAGAAAACATCTTCCTTCCCAATCTATGGAAATAATTTTTTTTTTTTAAATTTTAGGTTTATCCCCAATATGCTCTTGTGATTTGATCTGTTCATGTGCATTTTTTTATTCTGTATTTTTAAAGAGCATATTAAATAAATCAAATCAAATCAATTAATAAAAGCATAAATTATGCCGTTTTTATATTGTACACCTTGTGTTTGTGTATTTTGCTAAAATAATACCGTAAATCAAAGATCTTATGAACACAAGATGGCGTTCTCCTCGATTTACGGGTAACAAATAGAAGGTCGATTTGGCACAGAAAAGTAATCAGTTTTGTGAGAGGGCATCCTAGTCGTTACCATGGATCTGAGATAGGGTGTTCGCGGTAGTTAAAAAGTTCGTTAAAAAGTACGTTAATTTGTTTCTTATGTTCTAAAGAGAGGGCGCATTGTAAATCGGACGCTTCTAATTGTTACGCGTAAACGTAAAGTTGCACGGCATACGCTATGATCAGAGCGGTCAAGGTTCAAAAGTTTTCAATTTTGCAAGAGGGCACCATTCATGCGTTATTACAGAATTTGCACACGTAAATTGTGGAGAACGTTATCTTGTATTTATAAGATCTTTATAAAATCCATCATTTGTTTGTAAATATAGCTGAAGCTGAGCGATTAAGTCAAGAAATTGCAGCAAAGAAAAAGGAAGAAGCAGCAAAGGCAGTCCCCCCTCCTACTACTACTTCTGCTGCTACAACTGTTCCAAGTTCTGCCACCACCCAAGCAACTACTGGTAATATAAATCATTCCTCTTTAAAATGTTTACAGCAATATGAACTTTGACATAGTGTAATGTCTATCAGGTCTTGTAACTAATCAAAATGTCTTCCTTTTAAGTTGCAGGAGTTTTGAATGTCCATGTTAGTGATGAATCGCGTAAACAATATGAAGAAGTTTTGACTAAGTTGAAAGAAGTAAGCAACTATTTTAAAGAACTCAAAGAGTCCAAGGACCAAAGAGTAAGTAAGACAAAACTGCCACCCACTTTATTAACTAGGCTGGTGAAATTGAATTTAGTAAAAGCATGACTATTTCAAGTAAAAAAATTGTGAAATATGATACATTTTACTGTAATTATATATTTTTCATTTTCTGTTAGGTAAAGAAAATTCGGTTTGGTTTACACAAAGCTGTTAATACTCCGGTGAATGCGGTGTCCGACCTGTCAGGCTCTCACCTCAAGGACAAGTTGAATAAACTGGTTCGACTTCTCTCTGGGCAAATGGTTGAAGTCTCAAGCCAGAGAATCTCAGCTATCGCTCATCCAGGAGGTGTTATGTTTTGTAAAGACTTATTGGCCAAAAAACTTGTGGTAAGATCATCGGTGCCTACTGTATTATCTATTTTTTGTAATCGGAGAGAATGGCGAGTTAAATGGCCGGGTGGTTAAGGCAGGGATGCCGCAAGCTACAGCCATAATATCGGTGCTGGTTCAAACAGTATACGCATCTACTGTATGATTCTGGAGGTGGAACAAGTCTTCTCGAATAAGAACAGACGAGAGTAGCTGGTACCGGTCTATCGGGCAGCTCAGACACGAAGAGACTCTTAGGGGAGATTGAAGTTTCTGAATAAGCTATTTATAGTCCACACTTTGAGTGCTCCACACGTAGCATTATATAAATGCTGCAATGTATAAGAATACTATTATATATTGTATGTGATTTCAAGGTGATGTGCTATTTTTCACCTGAAATAATAATAGTACTGTATATTGAAATAATAATAGTACTGTATATTGAAATAATAATAGTACTGTATATTGAAATAATAATAGTACTGTATATTGAAATAATAATAGTACTGTATATTGAAATAATAATAGTACTGTGAATTATATTATTAATACTACTGTAAATTAAAATTAATTTATAATACATGAATTTATACAAGGTCTCTATACAAAATTCAACCAATCAAAATAAGTGAAAAATAAAAACATACACAAATAAATAATACACCAAGCTAACACCCAGACTGAAGTACAGAGTTACACAGTCTACATAATTGCTTTGTATATTGTAGATTTATTATTGTAAATAATATATTTAAATATTATTATGTAAATATTTTATCACCTTTAAATTTTCGGAAACTTTTTATTCAGAAACAAGGTGATGAACAAGTATCTTCTAATCATGAATCAGCTTTTGTGTATGCTGCCCTCACAGTAGCAATTATGTGCGAGTTTCCGGATATGCGTGATTTGATCCTGGCATACTTCTACGAGACCTGCCCGTATCTTATACCATACTATATTCCCAAGGAAGAATCACAATCCTCAGAGGACTATTTTAAGTGAGTGTAACATTAGTCTTTGAAATCTGTCTCTTGATTGGTATTATAATTATTGTATTAAAGTGAGGCCGAGACAGGCCGAAATTGATTTTTGAGTATTAATACAGCCTTAAACAGTAAAATGAAAGTTATAAAATGGTTAAAGAATCATTTAAATTAAAACATAGAGTTGTTTAAATGGCAGTATTTGAAGACGACCACCAAATCCTTAAGTTGTTTTAACATTAAAAATGGTGCAATTGGAAACATAGCATAATGCAGGGGTTCTCAACTATATAGGAATAGGGGCCAAAATTGTTCATTGAATAAATTTGGCAGGAGGTGTACCTTGGCGCATAACACCCATCCGAGCGCCACAGGTGCGAGCTGAGGTAAAGGGTATGGGAGGGGTCCCTCCGCAATTATAAATATTTTGAAAATAAGCACTAGACGCTAATACAGGGCATCTTCACCTAAAACATCAAGCAAGCAACTGTGCAAGAGGCGGAAAGTTGGCATGTTTATGATTTCTTTTATTTGCTGTTTTCTGCAATAGTTCTTCCGATTTGATTGATTAAATCTCTCCAATTTGTGGGGTAAAACTATTAATGCAAAATGATTAAGGTTAGGAATCTAGGCCCATGCCCAACGGAAAATATTATTTTCAGATCATTCTCACGTGCCGCATAACACACGCGCGGGCAAGAGATGGCCTGTGGGCTGCCGGTTGAGAACCCGTGCCATGTTTTATAGACATATAAAGATTTTAAAATTTGTGACATTCCAACACAAATATTATCCTCTCCTAGAATATTTTGTTAATTACTATTAATGTATTTTTTAAGGACTCTTGGTTACCAGCATGATAGTGATGGTACGGCAGAAAAACAGGATAAGTTCTTGAGGAGAATGTCAGGATATACACGTCTGTTTGCTTCTATCATCATTACACAACCAATCCAGGGAACACAGCATGTATGTAGAAACACCAGTAATAAAATAGAAACAGTAATGATGGTGATAATAGTAGTACTGTAGTAACATTATTGGCCATCCCTATCTTCTATGATTTAACATGGAGAGCTGCCTGACAGTAAACCTGTTTTTACTTTTGAGCAATCCAGTCAAGTTTTAATGACTTGCATTTCTATCTTGTAATCTTGTTTGTCTTTTTTTTCTATATTTATGAAATAAATTATTTGCCTATGATATATATATATATATATATATATACTGTCTCTTATACACATCTAGATGTGTATAAACATGATTATTATTTTTATTATTATTATTATTATTAGCTCTGATGAGAAGCTCTAGAAACACTCAGCTGATTGATTAATAGATATTTTTTAGCTCTACTGCCTCTATTATACTGCCCTCATGAGGCTGATTGATTAATAGATCTTTTTTAGCTCTACTGCCTCTATTACACTGTCCTCATCAGAGCTTTCGAGATTACAATAACTTGTTTTACAAAGGTGTGACTACAGTATTTCCAATCCATTATTATGTGATTGTAATGATTTTATTTTAGGCACACCCACTTGGCGTTGATGCAGGTTGGAATTTTGTATCAAACATGCTGTCGTTGGAACCGCAACCTGATATCACAGCAACAGTACTATTTGACTTTTTGCAGGTTTGTTACAATTCATTTTAAAAGGGTGGGCTGGAGTGTTCCCTCTCCTATTTTTAGGGGACCCAGTATTAGAGTTTCAACCATTCTAATCTCTTATCTAAATTATTTCACAATTGGTTAAATGTTTTGGCTGCTGCAGGATGGGGGAGTATGGGGCGGTGAGCAGTGCCCCTTTCACCACTTCCTCAATCCGTCACTGCAACATAAATTGAAGGATGAGCTGAACTAATTAAAAAAAAAAAACATTTTATTGCATGTACAGTGTAGTCCATGTCCAACAAATGTAATTAATTATATTCTGTTTGTTAATTGTAATCTGTTAATACATTTTATATTTATATTGTTTTATTTTCCAAAGTTGTCATAGTAGCAGTAGTTCTGACACTCTAATCCTCACTACTAGTATTGCTATACATTGTCAACTGAGAATAAACAAGGTCGATGTGCTCTCCCTCCCCTCACCCCACTAAGTTTTTTAAAAAATGAAATAAGGACAATTTTAATCAAATTTAGGTCCGTGAGTAGTTCCTCTTCCAACCATCTAGAGGTGCCATAATATGTTCTTACCTCAGCCCCAACCATGGTGGGGCTGAGGTGGTCTAGACTCTCTCCCCCACCCCCCTATTTTGAATTCCTCGATCCGCCACTGTTAACTTAACCTGACTACTACAGTGCATCTAGTCAAGGACTTCACTGTTCTGATTTCCCGTCATTATCTTTATCTTGGAATGTACTGCTACTGTGTGTCAGTATTAACTTGGTCTACTTGTGCCTAACCTGCTCTATTCAAGAAAACTAAACCTAAAAAATAAGGCTACACCTAGCTAGTTAAGCCTAAGATACAAACATATTATTGAGAACATATTCAATCATTCATACTCAAATATAATCATTTTACAGCCCAAGTAATTTGCTTGCTAGAACATGCTTTCTGGTGAAAAAAAATGAAATTTGTGGAAAATGTCCGATTGACCATGTTAATTCTCGCGCACAATATGTCTAATCAAGGCTCTGCTATTGCATAATATGAATTTTACATCAGTTTTTACTGTACTGTGGTACTGAACGAGTGCTACAGTACGTCTTATGATTTGGCATTCATATTTACTTTATATCTTAGGTTGCAGGATCCACTATGCTACAGATGTACGGAAAACAATTCCACAAATTACTACACATTCTCTATCAAGACTTCTTCCCAAAGTATGTTGGATGCATCTTCATTATTTTTCTTAGGCTAAATTAGGGGTCATCAACTATTTTTTTTTATTGATGGCTACCTTAATATTCTAATACAATAGCAATATGTATTATTTGGGGGAATTACTGGATTGTTGTGAATACTACCATTCCATGATTTTTGTAGTAAAGAATCTATAAATCAGTAAATTGTTGTATGTATCATACTGTATATGGAAAGGTACAGTAATGTATTCTTTGATTTTTTTAATGAATTATGAATTTTTTAATGAAATATATAACTGCAATCTATACTTTATGTTGTTATTTTGATTAAATTATAATTGTTATACTAATTTCTATTAATCATGAACTATTTATTGTTTATTATATATATATTACCATTTATAAAACAATATAACATTTATTTCATATTGAAGCAATTACATCACAATATATTGTTTTGTAATTTGCTGTTTGTTCTTCCACCTTCATTTTGAATAATAATAAAGTTTATAAAGACAGTTGGCAATATTAACCAACCTCACTTGATACTGTGTCACTATTAAGTTTTTTACGACAAAATGTGGTGGTTTTTTTTTGTTTTTTTTTAAATAGAATTGAAGCGGTGAAAGGACAAGGTGGAGGAGGGCCGGTAATGCGACTGAGAAACTTTTTGGAAGTATGTTAATTATATAAATTATATTATCCGATATGAGATATAATTTCTCTATCTAAATATAATTTAACCAACACCCATTCAAAGTGCTGCAATTTATATTAATCTAAAAAATATATAGGTTATATATATTTCTCTACTATTACTTTCTTTTCAGGAATGCTTGAAGAAGAATCATATTCCTGCACCTAAAGGGTTGTTGCCACCACATTTCTGGAGGACATAGGCCTAGGTGAAGATTTTCAAAGATAAGAGAACAACATGCAAGAAACTGACGGTCTGGCAGGATCCAGCACCTGTCTTTAAATTGTTTCTGAATAAAAGAATTTGTGGTTTGCGACATTAACAAACATACACACAACATAGGTTTATGTCGATGGTATGTGGAGTTCAAACAACAAATTAGCTTTTTCAGAAAAATAATATTGTGCCAATGTTTCGTACTTGGCAAATTTTGTTTTAATACAGGAAATGAATGAAGTATTAAATTATTAAAATAGTGTATAAATTAATTCTAATGAAAATTAATGAATTCATTAATTTGAATATTTTTTTAACAATTTTTAGTAAAGTACTGTATTGGGAGAAACTTTTTTATAATTTTTTAAAAGGATGCAGACGGAGAAGTATTCAACACACCAAACAATATTGAATGTATATTTAATATTTATGTCAAAATTAATAAAATTAACATTTTAAAATGTTTGTTTCACCTTTTTAATGGTAATGTAGTGGTTTTTTGTTTTGTTTTTTTTTTGCTATACATGTACATCATGATTGCTTATAGAACATGACTTCACTTTACAACATCACTGTTCACCTTGCAACATGAATCAGAGTTTTGTTGGTTAGTACCACCACATTCTTGAGGTGATGATGTTACACGTACTGTTGTTTTCTTAGTTTTTCTGGCTGGCCTAGCAGGTCTATGAGCTTCATTATTAACAGTCCATGCACCAAGACCTGAATTACTATAGTAGTCCATTGGGTAGGTCTCCTGCCATTCAACGTCTTTGAGAACAACTGAAGCTTCGTAAGGCGTAAGAAGTGGTTTATCAAACGCAAAGCCCCAATCAATTGACAATCGTGGACATGCTACTTGCACCCATCTGCAAGAAACAATTTAAACAGAACCTGAACTAATACCAAACTAATACATTGTACATTGTTTACATTTCTCTTTCCAGTGATCCAACTCCCATTGCAATGTACATGTCAGTATTCTGTATTCTATTTGATTCCCACAGATATTAGCCAGTTATGTATAATATTGAAGATGAAAAATAATCAGAAATTAATATAGATATTCACAATAACAGATCAAGTATTTAAAATATAGCAGCCAGAGACTGAATTTTAAATTCTATATTAACTACAATAGAACCACTATTATGGTGACAACATTGGGACCCAACAGAGGGGTTTTACTGAAATTAACAACTAATTATCATCAAAGTTTACTTACGCATCAACATCTTTAAATAATTTCAACTTGTCAGGAAAAATTTCAGATAAAAGAACAAGGATGTGTTCCAAACCACATGATTTTATTCTTTCTTCCAGATGCTAAAAAAAAGAACATTTATATATAGGTTTATTGTTATTTGTATTTGTTAAAGAAACAATTATTTGGGAACGTACTGAGCATTCAGTACTATAACATGTCAAGTAGGGCAAACATAGATTCGGATTCCACGTCATTGGAATTACAAAATTATTGTTACATACTGTTTGTCAAAAAAACATACCCATATACAGTAATTCAGACCTTAATTATCCTGGGAGATACCAAGTAGTGTTTTATTTCTTTGTGACCTTTAGCCTCCATACCTGTAAAACCTTTGGAGCACCCTGTCTGCCTAGTGTGCCCAGAATGAGCCCAAATTTCTTTGCATTTCTGGCTTTAGCAATGGCTGACTGACGTATACTATGCATCCGTTCTGTTTCATAATATTCTTGTGAGAACACCTTACTGTAAGGATCATATCTGCGATGAAAAAAACGCAATTTAAGTATATGCACTGTAAAACACAAGTGTAGAGATGTTTGGAAAAGTGAAAGAATACAAAAACAAAGTCTCCAAGAAACGCCACATTTTCTCCTGAAATTTGAATTTTTCCTGGATTTCTCCAGGATTTTAATAAATGTTCACAACTAATGCTTAGACTAAGATAATTTTTCCCGTTCTTATAAGAATAAGGCAATAAGGCAGTCATAAGATTTATTTGTAACATTCATGGCAGCTAGAACATTAACAGTGACCCAAACCTGAACAAACCTCTTGTTTTTTATAGTAAAAATGGGGATAAGTTTGTGTATGTGTGCACACGGTTTTGGCTATTACATACGTCGCAAACCTCTGTCAGACCTGCACAATGAATCACCAGGAATTTGACTTCCACAACTTGGGACCCCTGAACGTTAGAAGATGTTAACTGTCCATAAAATTGTCTTCACCTTGGATGAAAATATTCCAATAATTCTACCAAGATTTCTATAGTTTACACATACCTGTATGCCTTGATACTAGGATTAGCTATCATAATGGCTTCTAAATGGAATCGTCCATCACCAAGGTATCTAAATTAAGAAATAAAACAAATGTAATGTCAGAGAGATATAATTACTAATATCACATTTACCAGTATTTGTAGCATAGAAAAAAATATTCAAAATTTGATCAACTATGTATTTTAATGTCTAGTGTATACTTGCCTGGCTAAAACTATTTTAGCCGTTTCGATCGATCTATTTAAGTATGCATTTACACAATGCTGTGGGAAATGTATAAATGAAAACTTACTGTGTAACATATTACAAATATAAAGAGAAAAACACCATATTGCATTAAAATTATAAACTCTACTTGGCCAAGCTGTTAGTATACAGCTACATTTACTGCTATTCAAACATCTACACTCTAAAGTATTTCATATTTGTGGAGGACATTTCAAAAACCAAAACAAATTGGCGTGGAAAATCACTAAAAAAATAGTGCTCAGAACTGTAACTACTGCTTAATACATTGAGAGAAGGTGAATGTCTAATTTTCTGCAAAAAACTGCGCAGTAATCAGCCCTTATTTTCCAGAATGAGCGGACAAAATTCTAGGCCTAATTTTTGCGCGGGGGATATATTCCCAGCAGCCTTTTTTTACAGTCTGGTAAAACTTCTGAAATATATGACTCACATAACAGCATCCACTTCCTGGAGTTGAGCAGCAGTGCATCCTAGGATTTCTCCAGGTGATAATGGCTTGCTCTGTGGAACTTGGATCTTGTACTTGTCTTTCAATTGAGAACAGGAAGCCTTGGAAAGAAATAAAACGTAACAAAATTAAGCAATTGAACTCTGACCTACAACAGCTAACCTAAAATCATTTGTAATATTCAGCACTGCAATTTTATGCAGACGGAGTGATATCTGCTGAGCTATTTGGGAAATGTAGGCAGCAGCTATGACAGTGGGGAAGGAGGAATGACAGGGGGATTATGCCTTGCCCAACCACACTCTGTGTAAGCCACATCAGACCTGGGGCATGTATATATTATTATTATAAAAATTAGAGCACTCTAACATTTATTAATGAATAAAAATAATTATAAATAATATCTTACTTGTAGAGCAGCAACAAATTGAATTGTACTAACAAAGGCTAAGGAGGTGCCAACTTTGAAGTTCAACTGGATAGTTTCAATAAAGTGAATTGTGTCAATTTTAATATCCACAAATACATACAACATATTTATGGACTCGGTTGCATTTATTGGAACTATAAAAAACAAAAAAAACCACACAAACCCAATAAATAAACCAGCAAACAAAAAATTGGTACGAGAACATAATCAAAATCAATTCATTGAAAAGAGTACAGTAGAATATATAAGCTGTATATTCTGGTACAGTATGGTGTTACATATAACCAGAAGCCTTAAGAAAAGAACTAAACAGGTTAAATCCCTCAGAGGCCAATTGAAACCGAGCACAACAATTTCTTCTTTTTTACCATGAAATTGAACTATTGAGAATTTAAAATAGCTACTTTTCTAACGGTTCTGGTATAAAAGATGATAAATTGTATAGTAATTTAGGCTTAAGGATTAAAGTACTGCACACATCAATCACTATGATCTCCATCACCAACTCTCTTTATTCTATAATCTATAGAAACCTATAGCCAGGCATTCACTGTGACCGGCGGTCACCTGCTGACACGCTTCTATGTAGAACCATGGAGGAATTGGCTAATTCCTCCATGGTAGAACGCAACGCCACGAGCACAATGAATCGTTTTTAATGACGATCAGTTCAGACTGACGCCTACAATCACCAGATAGAGTTAGAGTCATCCTTCGACGCAGTGTGTGCCTGGCTTAAGGTATAAATAAACATCAAGTAATGTTTATAATTGACCCCTACAATACACAACCTTATTTGTAAGACATCAGACGAACAATACCACATGATGTAAGTTTGTCAAGGAACCTCTTATTTGCATCATTTGCAAATTCCCACACCACAAATTCTAATAAAAAAACAATCTGACTTACTGAGGCAACTGTGTCCATAGTGAACCATCATATCTGCATCCAAAGCTCTCGCTGTGAAGTCATCCACACAGCAAGCACCATACGTTACATCACCCATGATTAACGTTTCAGCATCTGTGAATCTAAAAATAGCCTTTCTTTATGTGTCTCATTCCAATATATATGTATAATGATGCAATGGTCAAAATTATACATTTGTTGGGCATATTGTTTTAAGAGATTATTGTAGAACTAGTAGTATTTAAGGAATAGAAGAATCCCTATGTAAAAGTATAACAAATGTACTTTTCATTTATTCAATAACAATGATAACATAGGTTTAGATATTAATGAAAAACCAACCTTTCAATGATATCTGCTATGGTACATGCAAATATCAACAATCCTTCAGGAAACTGAAGAGCCACTGAAATAATTAATTGATAGGAGAAATATGAGTATTTTAAGTATGCACAAAATATAAATATTTAATGCTTTAAAAAATATACAATGGACCATTCCACAAAGATCACTCCTTTGAAATTGTTGCTAAGATCCCACAAAATGACAGCCACTCATAGAGTAGCATGGCTGATTGTGCACCATGCCTCCTATTGAATAACACATCATGACAAGTCCATTGTGAAGTTTGCCTGACACTCTAAAAAGGTCCACTGGGGATTTAAGTTGAAATCTTTAAATATCAAAAAGAGTTCATTCAATGATCAACTACATCAAAACCTGTAGAAACACTTGCATTTAAGAACAAAATTATTCACCTCTTTTGGCTTCAAGTGATTTAATTCTCCATAATGTCTTGTGAATTTCAAAATTGTAGTTACTGGGAAGCTGAAAATAAAGGCACATACTTAATAAAAAATGAATTGAAAATGTAAAATATGAGCAAAATATGATAGTAAATACAGTTAAATTCGAATAATTTCTAAGTCATCTTATTTTCACACCAAATTGTTGTGTTTTCCATTAATTAACGATCTGTAAGTCAAATTGTATCTAAGTCAAATAATTTTTAATGTCCTTTTGAATTCAACTTGGGAAGTTCAACTGTAGTTACTGACAATATAATCTTACTTTTCTCGGAGTAACACAAAGTATGTTTTCTGCCAGTCTCCAACGTGACTAAAATAAAGTTCTGCCAGTAACATAGTTTTGTGTGACAAATTTGTGTGATGTGTCTATATATGGGCATGATGATGATGTCATACAACCAAATACACTATGGGCATATCACATTTATCCCATTGCAGACTCCTTTTCTATTTGCTATTTATTCCCAGAGGAAGCTAGTTTGAGCTCATGTTTCAGTATGTTACAAAGTAGTCTATTCTATAAGTAACTTGTTTTATTCACCTGCAATATAGCATCATTAATATCTTTGTTGTTTAAAATCTCTTCTGGGATTTGGTGACCTGTTCTAGCTGTAAAAATGAGAAACATTTAGTAAAACCAAGCACAAATAGGCTTACTCCAGTAGTACAGTATGTACAAACTGCTTAACTATTATAAAGATCTTTAAGTTGTTCTACAGATCCTATTGTAGTGTCCTTCCATAAAATATATTTGTTTCAAATTATATAATAATAATAATACTAATAATAATAGAAGTTATAAACAGTCAATCAAACGACCGGGGTGCATTCAAGGGCAGATTCAAGATATTTCTGGCAGGAACCTTTTCATTTCAATAAATACAAACATACCGTACATAATAAAAACAGAGGTTAAAAATTTAAAATACCAAAAATACAACACACATAATTAATATACTCAAGACAATAGCTAATATTAACCATATTAATAGTAAATGTAAAACATGAGTTGCAGGAAGTGAAATCAAATTGAGTTAATAATTGAGACTAATTGCACATTTTGATGACGTAAGGTGAATAAATAGTAAATATAAAACATGAGTTCCAAGAAAACATACTTGAGTTCTTCACACTAAGTTGACATCATTTCTGTCAAGGCCTACCCTAAACTAAACAATAGGCCTATAATATTGCACATTCATTGATAAAAAAGAGATTCATTGCACATTCTTATGGAGTATGGGATGAATGACTTTAGATATCTACCATACATTGCCTACTGCCGAGAAAGTCCTATGCTCTCCTTGCTAGGCCTGACCCTATTTAGGTGACCTGCCCTCTTCTACCAGTCAATGGGGCATGGGCTGTGGGAGTGACTCGCGACGCTGGGACCCCGGCCCGGGTCGAGAAGGCCTAGCCTAGCCTAGCCGAGCGATTTGCCTTTTCGTTTGATAAGTTGCTGATGGACCTAACCTAGTCTATACAAAAATTAAAATATTTGAGGTCATCATATCTATTAGCAATTGTTACCCTTTTTACTAGTGTAATGCTTAGTTGTTGATGTTTTGGCCGATATAACATGCGGTCCTTCTTCGCCACCTGCGTTTGTTTTGGTGGCCATCTTGTATTTTTGTATCATCCTTTAAGTCACTAATTATATATTTTATATAATTTTATGAAAAAAACATACAAGTATAAATTTCTAAATTAATAAAATATGCTTGTTAAACTATAATTATGATATGTTATTTCCTTTTGTATTTATTTTAGTAATGAGTAGGAATATGTCTAGAAACATATACATTTCGTTTTAATAAGTGGAGTTGTAGAGCGTTGAACAAACGAACAACGAAAGGGACGCGCTTGCTGCGGTGAATACAAAACAAGAAAATTTTATGTTTGAGAATTATCGTTAAAAATCATTTATATTTAGATCACATCTAGAATTTTCAAGTAATATTTTCAGAAGTACTCAACAATGTCGATCGGTGTACCAATAAAGGTTTTGCATGAGGCTGAAGGTCATGTAATTACATTGGAAACAAACACAGGTGAAGTTTACAGGGGTAAGCTTATTGAAGCTGAAGATAACATGAACTGCCAAATGTCGAACATTACTGTAACGTTTAGGGATGGCAGAGTAGCTCAACTTGAACATGTATTTGTAAGGGGCAGTAAAATAAGATTTCTTATCTTACCGGACATGCTGAAAAATGCCCCAATGTTCAAAACAAAGCAGAACAAAGGTGCCGGGGCAGGTAGAGGAAAGTCTGCTATTCTCCGTGCACAGGGTGAGTACCTCAATGCATTTGTTTTACTGTACATTTATTTATCATAGGGGGAGGGGCCTGCGGACAGTGAAGGTAATTGGGAGGTTTGTGAACAAATTATTTACTACATTCCTACTGTTCTTAGGCCTACAACTACTAGGCCTAGACTACAATACCTACCTCTGCATTGCTTTCTAGACAAATAGAATAATAATCCAATTTTTCCTAAGGCCGTGGCTATGCTTACGCCGAAGTGATAGGAATCCCAACGCACTGATTGGTCGACTTGCCTTTACCCAAACCTTAAAAGTAAATTTCACTATCTTATGCACAACATCTCGGCGTAAGCATACTTTAGCCAGCCAAGCAAGGTGCTATGTTTTCTTATCAATTCAAAGATTGAATTGAAATGTGGTTCAACCCATCTTATTCTTAACCATAGACTAGTTTACATGCAATAAGTTTTGAAATAATATTTCATGGTTATTATTTATTTGCTATTTGATTAAAGTTATTTTTTTTAACAGCTGCAAGAGGAAGAGGCAGAGGAGGAGGAAGAGGAAATGTTTTTCAAAAGAGAAGATAGTGAAAGAAGGAAAAAAGGACAATTTTTCAATAAGTTTACCATTATGATGTGATGCCCTAAGCAGAACCTAACGAGAAGAGACGCAAAGTAGATCATGATATGGAGATGGCTGAGAGTAGTGTAATCACTATCAGTACAGTGAATCTGCTGCTGAACCAAGCCATGGAATTGTGTTCATACTCTGTAGAGAAGAAACATCAATAGGGCAGAACAGGAGAAGGAACTATCATTTCTCACACCACAAACTAACACAAAGTAAAGTACAGTAGTTTTTCATTGCATTGGTCAAGGATTTTTATATTCTTTACTATCACAAAAAAAATCTGTAAAAACAAAGCCTGTACTACTTGAGTGTATTTTTTTTCATGAACTGACAGACTGCTTCTGTGTTTTTGTGGTGTGAGCAACGATGTAGTCCGCTTCTCTATTTATTGGTGTATGGTCATTCTTGGATTGATCTTCGTGTCAGAGATGCGCTTACAACAAAAGCTCAAGCTTTTAACAAATTACTTGCAATTTTTAGTAAGTCCGTACTGTATAAATCATTTTTAAAAAATTGTTTTTCCTGCAGAAAATATGATGTGATAGTTACTACAATTACTCCTTCCAGAATTTTTTCCGTTTACTTTTTAATTGTATGTAATGAACAGGCATAGTATAGTACAGTATGTACAAAGTACAATCGAGCAAGACTTGGAAATATGTGCATACAGATTGCCATGTGTGTTTAATAATGACTGTTTGGGTTGTGAGAAGGAAAAATTGAGTACTGTACAATGATATGCTTAGTTTGAATGTACAGTACAGTAGAAAAATCAGATGGTGCCCTGAAATTGTTGTAGCTACCAGGGGTAATTCTATTGTTTGTAGGCATATTGGCAACACTTCAATCAATCCATCATCTGCTTTAAATGTGTAGAAGAAAGTGTAAAAAGTGTTCTGTTGATATTTTTTATCTGTTAACATTGTTTATACAGTAGTTGGGATCGGGTTGTAATAATATTGTATGCCAAGAAAATATGATCAGTTTCATCTAAATTTGTTTTAAATAAAATCATATCTTTTAGAAACCTGAGTAGTTTTTCATTTCAAAGTGTGCCTCCAACAAATATATATTGTATTGCAATGTGCACTGTGTGTTTTGCTATGCAATTTGTGCGTTTATTTTAATAAATACTGATGCATAACAAGTTGTTTTGCCCAATGCTCACTGACCCATAGTATCAAAAATTAAACTGGTAAAAACCTGAATTTGCCTATCCTTGAAGATGTATTGTCTTACTATATGCAAAGTACCCAAAAAAAAAACATTTTTGAAATGAACTTTCTAATTTTGATGTAACATAAATAATCAACTTATTAAACATAGAAATTTACCCATAATTTTACAGCAAAAAGTAATAGAAACACTTCCAGTCACTAGTGTGTATTATTATTTTTATTAATTTTTTTTAATTCAATAATTTCTATGCTTAAGTTGATAATTTGTATGTTATTGCAAAAATAAAGTTAATTTCAAATTTTTTTTTAATGAACTTTTGTCATTTCAGGGGATAATACATCTTAGTGTTGGAGTTCACCTTCACTAATCACAGGGGTTGGAAGTCTCCCAGAAATCAGGACTGACTCCTGCAAGCAAGAATATCCCAGTAAATAACCCATCTTCCACAAATTTATAAAATTTGCATGCGTTTACTATGGATTAGTGTCCATGACAAAATAAAATTAAATATGTTCAGAAATTAATTCAACCAGATCTCCTGGGAGGGATTTCTTTCAACTTGGAACGCCTGTAATCATCACAAATATACTGTGTTAACAGATAGGCGTTACACAAGCTATATATAAACAGCAAAAATTAAATATACAGCAGTATATTTTTCACCAAGGAGTCAAAAATTATATTTTAAAAGGGCTCACAAATATTTACCCAAAAATTTCAATACAGTAATAGGAATCAATGACATGCCAAAACTACCCAAGTATAGCGGTAGTTCATGGGGAGAGTTTATGGCTTAGTATGGCCCAAATTGTGCTTTAGACCACAATATTAGGGAATGGCAATCAAAATAAGGGTATTTTCCCTCCCCCTGGTGGGACCACTATTATCTAAACACCAAACTTTAAAACCAATTGTACTTGTACAAACTCATTAATGTAATGTGGTTGGATTTATAGATCGCTTTATACCAAAGTCTCGCACAACTTTCTTCCACTCTTAAGGAGATACCCAGTAAACCGGTACCAGCTGTCGGTTCGTAATAGAGGCTGTGTGACGCAGTGCACCGGGGTAACCCCCAGTCGTCTCGAAAGTTCTACAGTGCTTGTTCTTTATACAGTAGTAAAAATGAGCAATTATGTATACTGGGTGTATAGTCCTTATTTGAGAAGACTTGTTTCACCGCCAAAACGTTAGGCGAGCGTGCCATTCAAACCAGCACCGATATTATGTCTGTAGGTTGCAGCGCCCTTGCCTTAACCGCTCGGCCATACTTGCGCCAAGTTCAGTACATTCCTCTCTGCTATTTTTTTTGTGTATATTTTTTACCTCGCAACACTTACTGTACTACCTAAACAGCACTTATATATGTTATGATGATAAATAAATAAGGCACTCAACATTTGGTATTCAAGCATGAATGTACATAATATTTAATCTTGAAAAGACAACTTCAGTAAAAAGCAACATTTATTTGGATTTGAAATCTCACTGGCACAGTTTATTGATAAAACAGTGGCTCCAAATTATTACCTGTATTTAAAAAATTATTTAATATTGGTAGTTATACTTCATTAAAATATGCAAGATGGGAATATAACTGGCCTAATTCTCCATTTCCAATAAAACCAGTCTAAGAAAATACTGTATCAAACATATATATACAGCTAAATACAACTTGTATAATATAATTATTAAAACAATCATTAAAATTAGGAATTGTGATAAAATTATTTCAATACATCAAGGATATAAATATTAGTTATTTTTTCCAGAATAAACTAAAATTATGTAGCACCAGTCATGTTCGGTTATTGATATTGTTGGGTTTCTATTATAATTAAGTGTCCGCATTTGTCTTGAGGCTGTAAGACCGACGATAGATGTCCACTTATTCTGAGCACTGTTGCATCAACAGGTGTGCACACTTAACTTAAGCTCTATTTTAAAACAGATGTGTTTCTGCATTTGCCCCGAGCTCTATTATTTTGATGGGAGTCCACATTTGCCCCGAGTTCTGTTACACTGATGTTTGTCTGCATCTGCTCTGACCTCTTTTACATCACTTTCCATGGTGATCAGTGTTACATCAAAGGCATTCTTTGGTTTAATCTAGTTTTAGACCTTTAAAGAAAGTTCCAACAAAATTATTATATGAGCTATTTAATAAGCTTAATGATTTCCTTTTTTTCTTAATTATGCATGGCCTGCTCAGTATAAATACATGGGTGAAAAGGAATCTTGTATACTAAATATTTTGTAGCAATGAAATTTGTAATTTGGCAGGTAAAAAGGGGAAAAAGGTGGATCTCCCAGATCTACCAATAGATCTGCAACAGAAATTAATGGATTTAGGAAGGGAAACTGGTGAAAACTGTCCCCTCAGATGGGCCAAAAAAGGGATGGTGAAATACGTGAAAACCGTCCCTCGTATCAGCCACAGATAAGTGCTGGAGGGAGGGGGAAGGTAATCTGCCAATGAAAGCAGATGGGAGAGGAGGAACACAAGAATCAAGCACATGGTCTACCACTGACAAGTGGAACAAAAAAAAATGGGTCAAAACCTTTCCCCAGATCTGGCACTGACAGTAGTTGGAAGCGAAAGTCCTACTAGTGGAAACTATCCCCAAATGTTGAGAAAATAAATTATCTATTTCATGACAGATCCGCGTAGTTAACTTACTTTTGAACAGGCTGTAAAGAGCTTGCTTTGTTCATTTGGTAATTATTTCTAAACTGTGCCTCAAGTCTGCTGAATATTCCACCAGCATACTGAAAAATACAACATAATGTCAGTTCTAACTAAAAAATATTTATTTTAAATATACAGAAATTCCAGTATTTTAAAAGATTACACATCTTTTTAATTGTTCATTATCATAGTCTAATTGTAAAATAGATAATTAATTTCATATCGACACAAAATCAAACTTGCTGTACCTCTTTCTGCCTGCTCTTCTCTACTCTCTCGGTTGATGGAGAAACACGCTGTTTAACCAGATAATTCACCAATTCATTCATTCGTTTTTGATCTAATAGAAGAAAAATTGTTCAGAATATTAATTAAGCCAATGGCTAAGCCCCACCTCAGGGGGCTGCCTATTGATTGACATGTTCTGATCTGTGTCTTGATTGACACCACAAAAAAGGTCCATTGTGTGCCACTGTCTTGTAATTACCATAGGTTGGGTTAATACACTGATAGCCCACTATTATTATTTGTGTTCAGTGGCAGATCCAGGAATTCAAAATAGAGGGACCCAGGAAGAGATTTTTCACACATGAATAGTCTAGACCAAATCAGCCCCACCATGATTGGGGTTGGGGAAAAAAAAGATGGTCAGAAATGGTACTCTCAGACCTAAATTTGAATAATATTTTCCTTTTTTTTTATAATTTTGAAAAAAAATGGGGGGGGGGGCTGGGCAAGCTCCCCCCCCCCATTTTTGAATCCACCACTGCTATTTAATAGAATGCAACCAATAAATGAACCCACCATCTTGTCTCTGTGCATCCTGATTGAAACGTAATGAGCATTGAGGATCCCATTTCTGTCGTACATACCTGAAAGAAGAATCCTATAATTATTATTTTACCAACTGAAAAATATTAAAAGCTGATTCATAGATTCATATGCAATTAATAGCAACACTAAGTAAGCAAAGGGTCTTTGTTGTGTCATGCAGCTAAAAAGGTATAATCCACAATGACAAGGGCTGTGAGATGAACCAAAATACCGGGCTAACCACAACCTGTCCAGTTGGTTCCTTTAAGGGGCATTGGTCAGTATTTGAAGAAGAGAACTTACGGAATATAACCAATGTTATGTTCAACAGATGTGCTTGAGGGCTGCTTATCCTTAGCACTGAATAATCTACTAGAAATTCTTCTTGTTGACTTGGGATGTTTTGAAGATTTAACTGCAAAAATATAAACAAAAGATGGTTACTGATCAAGATACATAAAACATTGGAAGAAAGGTGGCATACTTTATAAAAAATAAAAAAAAACAACATGATTTTGAAAACAATAAAAGCATAGTAACAAAGTATTGAGTGAGAAATACAACGAGAGTTAACAGAAAATGAGAGGTAGTAATTTAAAGAGCATTTTGAGTTGGAAATAAACCAGAATTTAGAATATGTAAAATACAGAGGTAGAAGGGGGATTGAGTGGGGGGAAAACCCCCTAATTTTGAATATGTGATACCATGTAGATATCACGAGATACTGGGAGGAAGCAAGGGGATAATTAGGAAATAAAGGAACCATGATTTAAATTTGGTGATACTAACCTTTGGGTAGTTCCTCATCACCAATCTCATCATCACTGTCATCATCTTCATCCACCGAAGCGGTTTCATATCTAGAAACACCACTCTGCATATAGACACAGATATTTATCATTATTAGTAAAATTGTGGTTCATCGAAAATGATGGATTGGAAATAGTTATTACTTCTTGTAAGGTTATTAAAAGGTATTGTATAATAAAGTACGCACAAAAATGCACACACAATGCTCTTTTAAAAGACAATATAAATATACAATGTCCCTTACAAACCCACAAATATAATACATAGTGTTCTTTATAACATCCAAAATTATGCATATAGTTTGCCTTTAAATAGCCAAAATATAAGTACACAGTGTGTATTTAACACCCACAATAATACATATACAGTGTCCATTTAATATCCATATTATACATACACTGTGTCCCTTATAGCATCCAAAAATACAGTGTGCATAATAATAGTTTCCTTTTAAGTAAAAAAATTGAAAACACATAGTGTCCATTTTAAACTCATAATGTACAAATACAGTGTACAGTGAACACCCATAATATACAGTACATACACAGTGCATACATACCTCTGGTCTTGCAAACATGGCATTATCGTCTGGAAAGATATGCTGAAGTTGGCCCTTTGTTGTTATACCCACATTGCTCACGCCAAGAACAGCCTCCTCTTCACTAAAAACATTTACATCTTTGCTTCTAAAACAACAATAAAATATTGTGATGCACTTGGTCTTTATAAAAATAAAACTAAAATAAAAAAATTTAACTAAAATTGGTTGAAAATTGTAAAGATTATAAAATACACCAAATTCAGTAAAGAATTTGAAGCCAAGACTGGACGGAAATGAAATTTAAAAAAGTACCTTTCATTGTCTTGAGATGGTGGGGGTATGCAAATGATGTCACGTCTTTGTAAGAGGATGTCCAGTGTCTTAGTATCAACATCATCTTCTTGCTGAAGATTTACCACATGATCACGCACACGGCAACCCTATGAAAAACAATACATCAATGACAACTATTTGCATGCATATTATGTAGAATCATTAGTGATATTTAATTGCTATCGTCTCCAATGACTCAAATAGAAAGAAATTGCCTTACTGTTTGAAGTTAATAATAAGTGTAAATAAACAGTAAAGCCAAGTTAGAAGAACTCAATTCTGGGTTGGGGCTAAGGTATGAAAATTTATGATTATGGCACATCTAGATGGTCTGAAATGGCACTGTCAGGCTTAAATTCTACTAATTTTTTTTTTCTCAATTTTTTTATTTTTCAAAATTTAGGAAGATGGGTAAATTTCCTGGATATTCTTGTTTGCTTGCGGGAGTGCGGGAGGCTGTCCCAACATCCAGGATACTCTCGCAAGTTGCAAAAAACTTGGGACCCCTGAAATAAATATTTTCTAATTGAATTATTGTCTTGGTTAATATAGTAGTTCAATGATATGCACAAATACATTGAAGCCTTGTTTTTTACTTAGCTAAAGCTTACAGTGTGCTCTTCTAAAGGATCAAATCGAAGCACATTGAGGTTGCAACATCCAAAGTTTCCAACTGATGTTGGTTTCAATCCATCACCGACAAGAAAGCGAGCAGTGTCTGGATGATAGCGGCAATGTCCAAGTTCTGAGCACGGAAAAACCTGAGGTTACCAAAAGCATATAAATTACTTCAACATTAAGTCAAAAAAATTGAACAAATAGAAGAAATTAGTTACCAAAGCTATTCGGTACTCCAACCAAAATATAGTTACTACAGTTGTGTCCTGTCTTTTGGTAGAGACATTTAAGCCGTTGCTCCAGTGTGCAATATTGCCCATGTGTACATCAAAGAATGTAGTACACACTCAGAAAAGTGCTGTGGATATTTTTCCAGTATACTGCACACATCAACACCAGGAAGACCCAACTGAAAATAAGACTTTGTGTTTCTGTGGGTTATTCTTGGAGTTTTTCACACCAAAGAGGCAAAATTCAAACAAAAAAAGTAGGGGATTCTCGCTTGGTGTACTGGCCAATTCACCACCTGGTAGACACAACTGGTTATGCATCTATAAACTTGGTGCGTTTACCACCAATGGAAACTAAATCCAATCCAATAACATCCTTCTCATTTGGCTTGTATCCTTGTTTTTACCTGTTTACAACGAGAGCAGGAGAGGAAGTTGACTGTTCCCCAAACTTGCCAGTAAACTTCCTGCCAATTTTTTGTTTGATTCCGCAAACACAACAAGTATTCATTCACATCCCAACTTGGATCCCTGAAAATAATAAAAATAATGGAAGCATTAGTTACCGTAAATGCTGGAATAAGCGCCGTAGTGCTTATACAAATTTTGGATGCTTCAGTGCAGCGCTTATAAAAAAAATATTGGCGTGGCGCTTTCCATGCCCGTTCCCATGTTACCTATCTCACATACTCCTGTAGTTCTGTAGGCCTATCAGGTCCTACGTCATTGTAAATAATTGTTTATAAAGAAATGCTTGTATCTTCATTGTGTAATTTATTCATTTTAACACTTTATACAGTACATTGTGTTTAAAACCCTGTTTCTGAGAATATTTCATTACACACAGGGTATATACTCTTGATTAGGCACCGCGGCGCTTGAGAGCGGTGCTTAGCAAAAAAAAAAATCAGAATTGGTGCGGCGCTTATTCGATTGCAGCGCTTATTCGAGCACTGACGGTACTTTTTATCTTGTTTTGAATGTGCATATAATAATAGTTTATTGGTTTTGGTATAAAGTCTTTCACAATCTGAAATGCCGAAAACCTTTTTTTCCATGCTGATATTACAAAGATATTCTCCGTTATGAACACTTAATATACAACAATGGGTTCTTTCTAATATCGACGTGTGTGGGTGTATGTGGGTGTGTGTGGGTGTGTGGGTGTGTGTGTGGGTGTGTGTGTTTGGGTGGGTTTACACATTTATCTACATATGATCATCACATATTTTTCATTAAACAATTTTTTCAAGCATCACAATTATTCTATTCCATTAGGAATGATAAAAATCAAGATGCATAATTTAGTTTTTTTTCCTAATTTTTCACATAATAACTTACCTTACATGGTTAAATGCTATGTTGCCATGCTGATCTATTGTTAATCTGGAAATAAAAATATTTTTACATATTTTTAAAAATCAAAGTATTCTCAATCCATAATAACAATCAAATGTATTATTAAAATTCTATATTTTCTCAAATTATGTATAAAATTATCAAGGGAGAAATATTTGTTTTGGTAATTCACATGATTTCAATATTTGTAAAGGAGTATCTGCTCACCTTTTTGTCAAACATTTCACTTTACTCTTTAACTCTGTGGTTAATAATTTTTTACAAAATTGACATCTGGAAGATAAACAAAATATATTACAGCATATTAACACAGTTCAAGAAACAATAATAAAAACTAACATATTCAATTCATTTTCATTTTCTTTGAAGTCATCAAATTTACAACTTTATAATTAAGGTAAGCAAAATACTGTCAACCTACCTGAAGAGTGATGCAGCTTTTTGGCCTGGTTGAAAAAGATCATAGATTTTCTTACAGAATAGTTTACTGTCAAAAAAGTGATAAATGATCCTTAGAAAAATGACAGCGGAAAATTTCAAAATATTAATTTGCTATCTGTATAGATCTACGTACGACCTACTGACCTTTTGAACTTGTCTTTACGGTCTTTCACTCCATCTACTTCCACATCTGTAAACAATGCAGCAATCCTTTTTATTAAAAGAACAAACATACATTAGTTTTCATTAAGAAAACAATCCATGGCAAAAAATTTAGGCTAAAAACATGAAGTGCTATGCCACGCACTAAATTATTATTATTTTGAAATTTCCAGAAACATGCAAAAACCTAAGGAAGTGCCCTGGTAAAAAAACACATGGTGTTAAGAATATAGTTGATGTTATTCAAATTACAGGGTGTCATACCAAATTCTTTAAAGATATATCACAATATTTTCAAATAATACAGAAAAACAAACCTTGTAGTTAGGTCATCATTGATGCAATTCATGTTACAGGGCGTAGCAACAATAGCACTCATGTTGTCATGACAATATTCTATGCATTCTTGTACCTGAAGGTATTAATTGAAATTCTTCATTAAAATCCATCAGCGATGAACATTATCCGAAAGGTCCACTGATTAATCTCAGATAAGAAAGTATAATACATACTCCAAGTATTGAAATACACGCCATCATGTTGAGATTCAATATTTCGACATTAATTATGTCATCATCAGGAATGATTCCTGATGATGACATAATTAATGTCGAAATATTGAATCCCAACACGATGGCGTGTATTTCAATACTTGGAGTATGTATTATACTTTCTTATGAACATTATCATTATGAACAAGAATGTACACATCTAGAGGTGTGCACATAAGTATAATATTTGTATTGAAGTACAGTACATGTATGTAGATAAAGATGAACAGCACAATTTAAAAAAAAATAGGTTTCCTTACAAGATTCTTCATTTTCAGGAAATCCGATGAGATCAATATTGAAACAACATTACTGGCCTCTGAGTAAAAAAAAAAAAAGATTAGATTGTAAATTTACAAGTATAAAATTCACTAATGAATGTAAAGTTAAGAAATTTGTATTGTGTTCCTCTATATTTTATCTTTTTTAACATCTTAATGCTATTTTTACTGAGCGAGCCTCCCTGCTTGATGCAAGTTTGGAAATTGTTGGAAGCTCAATATTTTATGACACTAATGAAATATAGTATGGACAAAGAATGTTGCCGATTCTCAAGCATCTTGTTGATATATGTAGCATGGCTGCATGACCCCCCCCCCCCCGAATATATAACATACTTTAGCTTTGACCTCTACGCCGAGTGGTCTTCTGACTTCTCCACTTGGACTGCTTGGGTAAGGCTTTAGATAAGCTCACAGATAAGCTCTGTGTGACTCTTCTTATGCATGAGCTTTGATGGTGTGCAAATAATTAAGTGTTTGAGTGATTCAGGTCTGATTTAAGAGTTATGGGAAAAGTTCTGAGTTTGCCTTTGAGCTTGGTTGCTATGTAGAGACGTAGGACTTCAATGCGATGTTGGCTGGTGTTTGCTCATTGAGTCTGAGGACGTGATAGAAGAGGCGCCGTTGTGCTTCCAGGATTGTGATTGAGATTTCCAGGTTTGACATTTTACAGGGGTATGCGATTTTGATAAACAATATATATTAGGGTTCATGTTTTTAGTGATGAAGTTTTTCAAATTGCTTACCAAGTTCAGGCACAGTTTGTGTTGATGTAGGATCCTGTCGTTTCACAAACCTCATCAGCCAATCAAATATTTGCACGTCACAATGTACAGAGATGTCAACCTCTTCCCATCGTTGCAAGTTTGGAAATTGTTGGAAGCTCACTATTTTATGGCACTAATGAAATATAGTATGGACAAGGAATGTTGCTGATTTTCAAGCATCTTGTTGTATATGTAGCATGGCTGCATGACCCCCCTAATATATAACATACTTTGGCTTTGACCTCTACGCCGAGTGGTTTTCTGACTTCTCCACTTGGATTGCTTGGGTAAGGCTTTAGATAAGCTCACAGATAAGCTCTGTGTGACTCTTCTTATGCATGAGCTTTGATGGTGTGCAAATAATTAAGTGTTTGAGTGATTCAGGTCTGATTTAAGAGTTATGGGAAAAGTTCTGAGTTTGCCTTTGAGCTTGGTTGCTATGTAGAGACGTAGGACTTCAATGCGATGTTGGCTGGTGTTTGCTCATTGAGTCTGAGGATGTGATAGAAGAGGCACTGTGCTTCCAGGATTGTGACTGAGATTTCCAGGTTTGACATTTTATGGTTGATAAACAATATATATTAGGGTTCATGTTTTTAGTGACAAAGTTTTTCAAATTGCTTACCAAGTTCAGGCACAGTTTGTGTTGATGTAGGATCCTGTCGTTTCACAAACCTCATCAGCCAATCAAATATTTGCACGTCACAATGTACAGAGATGTCAACCTCTTCCCATCGTTGTGCATCCACTGATAAATACTCGGAGAAGTACTGCATCTCTTGAACAAGGAGGTCTCGTGGACACATGAAATCTCTTTTTACTGTAAAATTGGTATACTTACAAAGGTAAAATATTTTCAAATTGATTTTTAGGTGGGTTCTACAAAATTTTATTTTAAAACAGAGCCACCAATGTCTCGCAACTTTTCACTAGCCTGAGCAAATTTCATTTTTCCAGACACATATCATCTTTTGAGTACTTGGACAACCAAAAACACTGCAGATTTTATGTGAACCTTTTTTTTTTTTTTTTGGGTATTTTGTTTCCAAAGATTAGCGTAGGCTTGTACAACAAAAGGTCATGCACCAGTCGCAGAGCACAGATAAACACTTGTAGAGCAAAAAACCCTGGGGCTCTCAATGTCCCCCCAACAGCTGCCAAGTTCTCAGAAATTTTCATTTCAAATTTAGCGAAAATGGTGTATATACAGCCTTAAGTATCCATTCCATATGCTGACCAATCAGAGATGATAATCACAGTTAAGTTAAAAAGCAATTCAAATTTTCATTGCTAATATAGTAATGATTTTGTACTTACAATTTTTTGCTTCATCACAAACATGAATTACCATATTAGGTCTGAAAATGAAAAATAAAACTCTATAAAATTTGAAAATAAAGGAAATTATTATAAATGATTATTTAATATCATATTTAATATAATATAATATGGGACACTTACCCTTGGTCTAAAGTTACAGATTTTTCTTCTTCTGTCTCTGTAGTTGTTGTATCAGAACCCTTCAAAATCAAGATATAGTAAAAATCACATTAATTGTTTTCCTTTTAATACAGAAAACAAAATTGTTAAAAAATACAGTAAATCAATGTTACATGCAAATGAAATTAAGTAAGTCTTTGCACTTTCACTGATAATTTTGAAGGTGTTATAAAGCCAAATAAAATCTTCCTTTATTAATTAATTATAATAATTCCATTTACTAAATAATTTAGGGACCATCCCTCATTTTCAGAAGAGTACAAAACATACGCAACAGCAAGCACATTCCCCAATTACAGGCGGAATCAATTCATAGGAAATGATTTTTTTTATTCTATGATCCAGGATTAAAATTCAAGATCTGGGATTGGAAAGCAAACATCTAAACTACCAAGTTACTGCTCAACTCTAATATCTTCCATTATTAATGGATTACTTATAATTAATTAAACAATCAGTATGTACTGATATTTCTTTAAAACCAAAGGATGTACACATTGGGGTGTTGTTTCTTTCTTTAAAAATATCTTTTGCATTTTGTTTCATGGTATTAAAGGTATATTATTTAATATGCTTTAACGCTTTTTTTAAAGCTTTTTTAATTATAAATAATTAATAATATACCATATACACTGTGAAGGTATTATATTAGCTCCATGATAATACTAACCTGCATTGACTGCTTCTTCGTAATAGGTTCATTTTCATCTGGAAAATTAATATTGTTATATTCATTTTAAACTCTTTTATCTGACTAAAGCTACGTTCACATCAAGCCCGGATCCGGTCCGGAGCCCGGACAAAAAATCGTGAGTATCTATGTTTTTTTAATGCTGCGTTCACATCGCACACAGAACACGGTTGTATGCATTCGATTGGTTAGAACCAACCAAGCTTGTTGCTGATTGGTCCAAGAAAAAAAAACGTACGATTTCAAGACACAAATGGCTCTCAGATCCATCAGTCCAGATCCGGAGTCTGGATTGAAAATCGTACGAATTTGATGCGAACAGTCCTATTTCTTTATCACTGAACCCATTTTTCATGATTTTTTCTCCGGACTCAGGACCTGAATCCGGGCTTGATGTGAACGTAGCTTTAAACAGATTCAATATCTGAGGCACCAGTGTCATTATGCAACACAAACATTTTCTTCATTTATATTCTAGAATTCTTCATTAGCCTTTTTAGTAGTAGATCTAGAGGACATAATGCTAATCATGATTTTTTCGCTTTTGACTTTGACAATTGTAATTTTCCTTGCTAAAATATTTTTTTTAAAATAACTCCCCCCACTACTCATTTTCAAAATTCTACATTCAATTATGTTCACATATTAATTTGAGTTGTTTTTTATTAAGGTAATTGTCATTTAATCTTTGCTAGAGTACATATAGGCCAAGTTAAAAAAAAGTAGTTTCTCATATTAATATTTTGAAAAAAGGAGAATGAGTACACTTTTTTTTTCACTCTGAGAGGCAAATCTAAGATGGTCGATGGGAGACAGCTATTACTTTCTCACTTTTACTAAGTAGACACACACTGAAAGTAAATTAATGAAGCACTAGACATGATTCATACCATATGTATCCCCAACCACGAATGATCGAGAGAGGAATTTTACAGATGTTCGTACATTTTGTAAAATACAGTATAGGAAATTAAAAAAAAAAAAATTGGTGAGGTAGAGAAAATGGATGCGCGAGGGGCAAGAAACTCGTAAGTTTTTTTATTTGGCCTTAACACTGATTTCAATCCTGTTTTAGCAGGGAAAACAGACTAAAAAAACAAAAAAAAAAACAAAAAAAAAATAATTGCATGGATAACAATATGGCACTGCTTACATGCTGTATGATCAGAAAGTCTATGGTCATCTTTAATCAGCCCTTTAACATATTTGGTGAGGGGAGAGTGAGAGATGTGAGAACGTGGTAACGGTTGGATTCTCTGGGCAGCGATAGTTGAAAGGTCACCGACAGCAGCCAGATCACCAGCAGCTACTTGTAATTCCTCAAACCTCAGTTCACACTGAAAAATACTTAAAAACTTAAATACACATATTGATCGCCTCAGTACATATTCATTTAGATTTTAAGCAACACATAACTGAAGTACATGTGTATTCTATTTGACATGGTAAGTCCGGAAATAACCAGTAATACCTCTTTTGGTGTTGTGCCAGGGATAAGCTTGGATATTGCGTCCCAATTTTTGCTTTGTATGTCATTGAATTCTGTTGAATTCATAAATGTTCTTAACATCAGATCCAATGCAACCATTCTTGATGGGTTGTCTTTACGTGTAACACTCATTTCAACTAACAGCACTGCTGATTCTATATTGCTATCATTGACTGGGTTCCTGCAGGAAATAAAATAAGAACATTCGTCCTTGGCATTTGGCCTGTTATGTTGAGAATTGGCTGCACTGATAACATGATACTGAACATTACAACTTGCTTTATCTCGCAGATGAAAACTATGTTACAAAGTGCGACACCCTCCATGCTTTGACTAACCTCCCAGGCCTTACACTTAAAATTCAGCATGATTCATCTTGCAAAGTAAGACCTATTTATTTCTGCTTGTCCGTATTTTTCTGGTTCTCTTTAGAGGACAATGATTTCATCATTGGTTGAAAATTATTAAATGCAAAAAATACTCATTTTAAGTATGCAGACAACATAGACATCTTTGGACAATGAGAGAGCATTACAAACATTAAACAAAGAATAGCTAAACCTATCTCTGTGGTTCAAAGCATCTATTCCTCCTTTCAAAGGGGGAAAAAATTATTTTTAACAAGACAAATTATATAGTAGAGTAGTAGATATTGATAATTTTACTAGAATAGTTTAGTTTGCTGGAGTACATCTTGATGAGACCATCTTTCATATAAATTCATCACATAGCTATAAAATGGTTTGAAAAGTGTTACTGTTAGGTTCAAAGCGCCCAGGGGAAGTGACTAGGCCTAGGCATATGCATAGAGATAGCCAGGCCCATGGCGCGCCCAGGCCAGGCCGGCTAGGCCCTAGCCCTAATACTGGATAAACATTACAGTTCAAAACAAAGTTGTTGTATTGTAATACATGAGTTGCAAACCATGATGAGTGGTGTGAAAAAGTTTTAATAATGTTAAAGCTTAAGGTCTAATAATGTACTGTATAATAATCAAAATTAACTTGCCTCCCGCGCAGTTCTTTCGGGAATGTTGTTGTTTGTACGTTACGTGGTTGTTGTTTCCTGTCGTCGTTCAGAGAAGCGTGTAAAGGTCAAAGGTAATACACCAAGGCCACTCTGAACCATAGAGATATAATAAGTTGTTTAATAGCTCTATGCTCTGAACGTAGAGTTTAAGTCAACTACCACACAAAATGTCTGAATTCCTGTTACTAAATACTGATTTTACAGATATAAATGGCCGGAGATGAAAGGAAAACAAATCCATGTGATTTAGTATGTTCAGAAGCAAGGAATAATCAGGCAGAAGAAAGGTTTAAGGCCAAATTTAATTTAGAACTCTACTTTCTGGATAGGAGGAGGAGAGAAGAGCTGCTGTTCAGTGTTAGGCCCTATACAGATAGAGGGAAGGCTAGTACTACTAGGGTAGGCCTTGTAGTAGAGTAAAGAGCAGGAGGATAGAATAGAGAGACAACATGACGGTCTAGGCTTAGGCGTATCTTTATTAAAATTCTAGGCAATGCCTAGGCCTAGCCTATGTCTGATAGCTATAGGTCTAATGTTATGTAACTGTCGTGCACAATTTAAGACGCTTCCTTGCACAATTTGCAAACTGCAAACAAGGAAATCTTGCACAATTTGAAGACTGTGAAAGGATTTCTTTGCACAATGAATACTGCAAGATTGTGCACAGTTCCCAATCCCAAATCAAATTGTGCAAAGTGATTGTTGTTGCACCTGGTTGCACAGTTTCAAAATGCGAATACAATTTGCAAGCTGTTCAGGGGTAGCTCGTGCACATTTTGAGCGATTTGCACTTTTTATACTATTTTACTAATTTATTCTTCTGTTGATGACGGGCTTTAGGGAACATAGAAAAAATTATTTGATTATCACTCTTTTTTTTAAAAAAAATCGATGAGGGAGGCCGTTTTTTTTTTTTTTTGAATTGGAACAATAGATTTTCGCTTCTGTTTTTATCGATGATTAGGGACTGTTTATATTTGGCTAGTAATAGTAAATATTGTATAAAAAGTGGTTTAATTTTATAGTTTTTTAAAGAAATTGCATTTGAAGTCACAAAATTGCATTGTTATTTTTGTGCTGTTGAAATAATTGATGTGGCAAAAAAAATATCTGCCCGCATCACTATTTCCTGAATTTTGATGCAGACAGGAGTGATAATCTAATAAATTTTTCTATTTTCCCCTGTCAAAGCAGAATCGTCTGAAGGTCATGTGTATGAGTAGGTTGTGGCGCGGTAGGAGGGTAGGTGATGGGGTGGGGATATGTGTTGAGATTTTGATGGATATTTTGGGTCTAAATATTTTTTTGGTAGGTTCTTATATTTTTTTTAACTCTTTTTGTAAAAAAACTTTTATAGCATGCATGATGACTTACATTGATGTAGGCCTAGGCTGCCTATATTCATTCGAGTTTATTCCAGCACATGGCTGAATTGCGTATGAATCAAGGCAAATCAGCAACAGGATGCACATCTCCGCTTGCGACCATAGCGTGTGCGTACAGTCCTTTGATCTTTACAGTGGCATCAATAATCTGATATTAGTTGCAAGTACAGCCGTCAGTTATTAGTCTATGCGTGCCATACGTTTTATAGTGTTATTTACTATTTTATTAATTTTGGGTATTTCGCATTGTCTGTTACATCTGATTTCTTTTGAACATGAGCTTGTTAAGTGGTTCTATAAACTACAATTTGATTCGTGAAAAAGGCCAACAAAATGAATAGTTATAAGCAGATTAAAGTTTACAATTTTTATAAAATTTATGTTCTTATGTAACATTACACTGTCATTTTGACAGTGTTGGACTAAGGTGCACAAAACAAACATTTTGAGTGGATACAGAAAATTTATTATTTTTTTCAAAAAATATGAGTCGAGTGGTCTTGGGTACTCTAATATAGTGGTGGCGCCGGCAGGGGCATCTGCTCTCCCTTTGGACAGGTCTGGACCCCCTGTTGTCCGATGCCATGACTAGGTCATCGAATATAGAATTTTTTTTAATAGTAATTTGCCTATCCAAATAATGTTATTTTGATTGATAATCCCTAATATTGTAGTGTAAAGCACAATTTGTCATCATACTAAGCCATACAAACTCTTTCCCTGTGAACCCTACCAGGAATTTTTTATTTCAGGCCATCGACCGAGGCTCTAGTCGGCCCCGTGGTTTGGACCATCCGTCAAACCTGTCAGACCCCTTGTTTGCAAATTTCTGGTGCCACCACTGCTCAAATGGTGAGACATTCTCTGGTGCATGAAGTGAAAGAAAAGGATAGATTTTAATGTTTTGGAATGTTTAACAATCTTAACAAAAATTCAATACAGTAGCATTTTTTTTTTTCAGAAAACTTTCAAGTGCTACTGCATCTGCATTTAGTCATGTATTTGCAGAAACCCCTCCTGCATTTGGCATGAGTGTGATGATCAACACTATAGCAAAAAAATACAAATCTGTGCCAGGCCTGTCAACCGATGTGGTCTACAAATGGTTGCAAGAAATTCATCAGCAGGGCAAGTCGAACAAACAGCACCTCCTTCTTTGTGTAAGTTGTGCAATTTCACATTGTTTGAAACATTTTTTCGATTTGGCCTTCTTGTGCCATGTACTATGAATAATCTGCAATGTAATTCTTAGCAGTTAGTAAATTAACCATTGTTTATATTTTTGTTTTTTCATAAATTTCATATTTTTGATAAATAAATTTAATATATGAATCTCAATTTTAAATAAAATTATTTATATATATTAATCTCAATTGTAAATGAAATTATTTAATTAATTTTTATTAGGGAGAAACTGTTTAGAATTTTTTAAATTGTATTGTTTTCTTGTAGATTTACATGGTACTATACTAACTGTATTAATAGGCCTACTGATCTTTTTTTGTAAACTCTTCATGTCAACCATGTGTTGTATTTTTAAACCGATTAAATAAAAATAAATAAAATAATAGTTCTGTCTCTGGAAAAATAGAATTCAATATTTGAAGTGCTGAAATTTGTATTTAAGTAAATTACTGTATCTGCTTTAATTAAAATATTAATATTTTTCCTTGCAAATTTATAGATTCAGTTCAATTCAATTTTATTACCTATAAATGCCATTAAGTGCAATTATCCGCATCAACAATATTCATTGACAATGGTTATAATAAATACAAAACAAGATAATAATTATTAATAAAAGGATTTTTAATTAATGGACCAATTAAATGTATTTAAAATTAAATTATCGCTTGCTTAATATAAGAAGTTGTGGCAGAGAATGGGGCAATGTTTAAATTATAATTTAGGGATAGTGAATAAGGAAGGGGAGAGCTTTGAAATCGAGACGTTTTAGCACTGAATCGGTGATGGAATGATTGACGGTTTTTACGAAGAGAGCCATTGCTCTGATAGGTGGAAGGAAAAAGTAAGCGGATGATCAGCCAATTTTGCAAATAAATTTAAGAAGAAAGTACTTGTCTTTCTTCAAAAGGTGTGATGTTAAATTGTAAAAATTTTGTTTTTTTAATTTATTGAAAATGTATTCCTGGAACTTTATTATGTTTTAAATATTTTTTAAAATTATTTTGTCTTTCCCCACGGGCCGCCTATTAAGAACCAGGGAACTACAGCATAGGTAGACATTTTTATCATTGTATGCGGCCAAGCATGGCACGCTATCAACCAAACTGTTACACAGAAACACACTCGCTGAGCAAACTGTACTTGTGTGTGATGCAATACAGACCGGCCAACTCACCCGATCCTGTCGGTTGTCACCCGATATTTAAACAAATCTCCAGTTCTCCCGATCAAATGTAATTTTCACCCAATTTTACAGGCCACCCCCCTCCCCAAAAATACTTCGATTTATGCATAATTCGATTGATTTGATCGTTATTATTCAATACATTTGCCACCTGCTTGCTTTGCGGTGCAATAAACAAGCAGCCATTTTCAATTCGAATGTCGCCACCAACGGCCAATGATTTGTAGTGACGTGACTTTTTTGGTATCTTGCATCATCTTTTGGTTAATCTGGAAACCTCCAGATTTTTTGGTAAATCTCCAGATTTTTTTTAGTATTCTTAAAAAAATCTCCAGATTTCCATGACCCAAGGGTTGGCAGGTCTGGCAATATGAAATACAAGAATACATAATAGTATGTTGTTTTGTAGGATATTCGACCACCGCACGAGTACAACATCAGTCATATTCCTGGTGCACTTCAACTCGACCCTGACATCCTCGACATGAAAGCTGTTCAACAGCTTCTTATCACACATGCAAGAAAAAATGGTAAATACACATCACCGCAAAACTTCTGACTGAACCTGGGTCACTTTTCCATTGGTCAGTTTTAGGGTGGGTTACAATTAGATTATTTATTTATTTCAGTTTTAGGCATACAGTAATTGCCAAGAATATGCCAATTGAGTCCTTTTTTTCTTTTGTTTGGTTTTAGAGTGGATTACAATTAGATTATTTATTTATTTACTACTACTTATTCAGAAGACATGAATTGTATTTTTTTTATTGCCAGAAATAAAGTTTATTGTATTGTATTTCATTTTTAGGCATAATTGATAAAGATAGGCTAATTGGGTAACTTTTCCTCTGGTTTGTTTTAGGGTGGGTTACAAGTATATTATTTATTTTGTTATTTAATTTTTGCGCATAAGGGCTAATATATATTTTTAAATAATTATTTTTGTAGAATTTCCTTCTGATGCTGAGGTGAAAGTTGTAATGTACTGTTCAGTCGGATATCGGTCCTCTGTAATGGTGAATCGTTATCTGGAAAGTCATAAACAGAAACTTATAGGCAAGTGAATTTTGCTTTATTTTAATATTTATTCTTTTCGTATTAGATGGAAATGTGCAATGGAACGAAATAAATAGAGAAGAAAAATGAAAGGAAGTGTTAGTAAATTACATGAAGAATTATTCAAATCAAAAAAATGGATTAGTTGCAATTAAATGATGTAAATACCCAATGTCATGTGATATTTAATCCACCAATCAAATAGCAAGGATATATTTAACTGTGTTGTAATAGTAAAACTCTGAATAGAAGCCCTAGGCTTCTTTATTTATTTTTTTCGTTTTTTTAGGACCCTTGGGATGGGCTTCTTTTGGAGTACTTTTGCAGACTAAAGATTGGGGGGGGGGGCTTTTTTTCAAAATGAATGCTGTAAATATTTAGAATTTCTTTTATACAACATTTTTAAATTATGGAATTCAAAATTATATTTAATATTTTTTTCATTTTAATCATGCTAGTACAATAATACTGACTTACTATCATGATCATCAAAGATAACGTCAATCCGAATGTACTGTAAGTAGGTCTCTCTCGAAAAGAAGCCTGTATTATCTTGATTGGAAGTCCATGGGTTTCTTTTTAGAGATGGGCGTACAGTATCTAAGTGGGTGCGCGCGGGTGGGTGGGGGCACATGCTCCTCCAAAAATTACTGGCGCCTGCATCAACACTCACACTTCAAGACTCCTAGATATGCCACTGGAGATGGGCTTCTTTTAGCGATTACTTTTGCAGACTAAAGATTGGAGATTTTTTTTTAAGCTGGGCTTCTCAAGATTGAGCCCATGGTGCTTCTATTCGAGGTTGTACAGTATATAAACTGATGAGTGCCTATCCTTGCTACAGGAAAAATGTACATAAAAACTACATAGAAATGTAATCATAATTATCTTAATGAGTGGTGGTTGATATGTCTTTACAGATGAAGACACGTTTAAACTCTTCAACTTGGAAGGTAGCATCTTCAAATGGGGAAATGAGAAACGTCCATTGGTTGATAAAGACGAACAAATCACTCAGCTGGTACACCCATTCAGCCCTATGTGGGGTAAAATGCTGTTTAAGGATATAAGGGCCTAAGATTTTTGTCATTTACTTATTTAGCACAATTGTGGGCCTTGTGAAATGCAAAACATATTTTTACATTGAATATGTTAGGTAGCCTTAAATGATAAAAACATAATGTTCAGACATACAAGCTATACCATTCATTGAGATATACATCTAACATTATTTTCTTACTGTAATTTTTATTGGAAGCTGCATATTGATAAAATACATGAATGTAAATTTTATTTCTCATGTTCTTATCATCATTCAATCCATCTTTTGATTTCTGTGTTTGTTTAAAATCTGTAATATCAAACTATATAAAAGGTCTGTAATGATGAAGTGGAAAAAGCTAAGAATGCATGGATGAACACAAGTGTGCGTACTGTATTCTCTACCTCTCATATCAGTCGACCCAGCTTTGGAAGGATCAAACAATTTTAACCTTGTCCAAACTATCAAAAACTGTTGTATGCATATATATAGTCATGATGTGGCTATATATGGTCATGATGTGATGTCATCATGACCATGTTTAAGCATGTCACATGTTTTTGTCAAATAACATTTTATAGTCCAGGTATTTTAGATATTCCCAGTGAGATACAGATCAAAACAATTCCTTTTTTTACTAATGTACAGACTTTACTACAGAAATACTTCGATTGATTAAAAAGCCAACTAAAAGGTGTAGATTCTAATTGTTATTACTTTAGGATGCCATTATTTGCATTTTTTTCTCTTCTTGCTCCACTTACTTTTACTATAGCAACACAACTTAACAAACTATAGTTCAATTCCTGTTTTTTGTTCAATCCAGTTAGTTAACTTTGTTACGTTGGTCATGACATCATGTTGCCCAACAACACCGCATCCATATCCCCAACTAACAATCCCAAATTGTACCCAGTGTTCATCTCTGTCGTTGCTCGCTGGGATTTTTTTAACAACTGGTCCTCCTGAGTCACCGACACATGACGACGGATACCCATTCCCTACACAAAACATGTTGTTTGTCAAAAAAGGTGCACCTGGTTTACCAATATCAAGTTGAGTCTGTCTGATGTCATTTTCACAGGTTCTCCACCTAACAACATCCAAATAGGCTTGCTGTAGAGCATCATTGTTATCGTTGGGTCTTTCACCAATAGATCGATTTTTAGTTTCGCCCCAGCCTGTTACTACCATTTCATCTTTTGGTACCGGTATATCTGAAACTATCAGAAAAGTAGAGATGTTACATTATTGTTAGCATAACATTATCTGGCTTTTCATGGTGGAAGATCAAGAGTAATGGAATAATCTTACCTTTTGTTCTGTTTGGTAAACAAACTGGACGAATGTAATTACCGAAATCAATAGACGTATTGAGCTGCATGAGAGCAATATCATAATCATAATCATAATCCTTTGAGTAATCTGGGTGTGGGATGATTTTTGTTATGGGCATTGTTCTTGTATGTAACAACTCGTAATCATTCAGGTTCGTATAACCTGTGAATAATAATGATAATAATTCGAAAATATCTTTCTATTGCACAATAAAAACATTCATTATTTGTTTATTAATACACCTAAAAAATATTCTTGTCATTTGATATTTTATAATTAATAGTTAGGACTAATTTTCTTCTGAATGAAACGGTCTATCTTCCAAAAATGAAAACATTGCTTTAAGCCTGTTTTCCACTTGCGATTCATGCGCATGCGCATTCACACTTCTATTGGCGTTTTTGCTTCAGCAAAGTCGGTAGTTCGAACTGCAAAGCGAAGAAAGTGCGCAACCAATCAGAGCTCAGGAACCACGCCTTCGATTCACGCGAATAAATTCGCCCAGTGGAAAAAATGCTTTAGGTAAAGCAAAGATACTAGAAATACAAGATAGAGTTCTCGCATTGTAAAAATGAGGCGGAAGTCGTGCCCAACGTAGGCGGCGCCCTTCTTTTTAACCATGCCAGTTTCCTATACTTCGTGCCCAACGTACTGGGCGCCCTTCTGTTGCTAAGTGTATCCAGACGCAAAAGGCGCCCTTCCTTTTCCACTAATGAAGGAAACTTTTTCACTAAGTGTGCGTCCGGCCATGCGATTCTGCGCTGTATTGTTGTTTTATTCTTTACTGATTCATGATTATGCTTTAATTGTTTTGTGTATTATTTGGATAATAGCAACGATTTCTACCGCCACCAAGGAGGCTA